GGAGCCTGCTTCCGATTCTGTGTCTCCCTCTCTCTGACCCTCTCCTGCTCACACTCTGTCTCTCTCTCTCAAAAAATAAACATTAAACAATTTTTCAAAAAAAGAAAAACTAAAATTGAAAAAAACTTTACTATGACTGGAAAAAATACAAAATACCAAATTCAGGAATGAAAAAGATATCACTACACACAGATACTCAAGGATAGTCAGGATTAGTAAAGGATAGTCAGGAAACACCAGAAACAATTCTCTGCATGTTAATTTGACAACTTAGGTGAAACTGAAGTTAGGTCATTCCATCAAAGCCAAAAATTACCAAATGTCATTCAAGATAAAACAGATAACCTAAACTTTTCTATAACTATTAAATACGTAGAATTCATAGTAAAAAGCATTTCAGAAAAGAAATGCTCAAGCCCAGTTGATTGCAGTGGAAATTCTATATTCAATGAATTAACACCAATTCTACACAAACTCTTCCAAAAAATAGAATAGAAACACAACACATTTTATGAGTCTAGTATTACTTACATGAAAACACAACAAAGATACTAAGATTTATGGGGTGCCTGGGTAGCTCAGTTGGTTATACATCCATCTTCAGCTCAGGTCATGATCTCATGGTTCATGGGTTCGAGCCCCGCATTGGGCTCTGTGCTGACAGCTCAGAGCCTGGAGCCTGCTTTGGATTCTGTGTCTCCTTCTCTCTCTGCCCCTCCCCTGCTCATGCTTTGTCTCTCTCTCTCTTTCTCTCAAAAATAAACATTAAAAAAAAATTAAAGATTTATATCTCTCATAAATTTATATTCAAAAGCTCTCAAAAACATAGTAGCAAATCAAATCTAGTAATATATATAAACAAATATACATCACATCAAAGTGAAGTTTATGACAGTAATGACAGGCTCATTCAAAATTTGAAAATAAATTAATGTAATCCACTATACTTAGCTTAAAAGAAAAACGACATGACATCACATCAATGCAAAAAAATCATTTGACAAAATTCAATGCCATTTTATAATTAAAAAGAAAAACCTCAGCAAGCTAGGAATAGAAAATGTCACCAACCTGATAAAGATATCTATTGAAAAAATATAATTAACATTATACTTAATCATGAAAGACTGAATGCTTCCTCATAAAATTAGGACAAAGGCCAAGATGTCCACTTTCATCACTCTTATTCAACATAGTACTGGAAGGCTAGCTAGCACAACAAGGTAAGAAAAAAATAAATAAACAGCATATAAATAAGAAAAGGAAAATATTAGTGAATACATAATTACATATGACATAATTGTCTATAAATGTAGAAAATCTCAAGGGACACACACACACACACACATATGCACACACACACACACACACACACACACACACACACACACACTTCCTAGAATAAATCAATTGAAGTTGCGGGTTAGGAGATCAACACAAAAAATTATATAATATATGCAGTACACACACAATTTCAATATGAAATGTGAAAATACAAAATTGTAGGAGGAAATATGGGAAATATTCTAACTAGAGTTATGCAAAAAGTTCTTAGTCATGACAACAAAATCATGATCAATAAGACAAAACTGAGAAGTTGAACATCAAAATAAAACATTTACTCTGTGAAAGGCAATGGCAAGAGAATGAAAATATAAGCCACAGACTGAGAGAAAACATTTGCAAACCATTTATACAATTTTCATTTTACATGAAAATACATGAATTTATAAAATTTTCATTTTACATGAAAATACATGCAAAAATCCTCAACAAAACATTAGCAAAGTGAATTCAACAATACATTAAAAAGATTATACACCATGATTAAGTAGGATTTACTCCAGGGAGGCAAGGATGGTTCAACATCCACAAATCAATGTGATAAACCACATTAACAAAATTAAGGATAAATATCATATGATAATTTCAACAGATGTAGATAACTCATGTGACAAAACACAACATCCATTTATGATAGAAACTCTCAACCAAGTGGGTATAGAGCAAATATACCACAAGATAAAAATGGCCATATATGTCAGTCTCACAGCTAACATAATACTCAATAGTGAAAAGCTGAAAATTTTCCCTCTAAAATAAGAACAAGAAAAGGATGCCATCTCTCACCACTTGTATTCAACTAACTGTTGAAGTCCTAGCCACAGCAATTAGACAAGACAGAGAAACAAAGCATTCAAACTAGAAGTAAAAATGTCACTATTTGCAAATGACATACTATATGTAGAAAAATCTAAAAGTGCCAACAACAAAAACCCTTAAAAATATTTCAAAAAATTCAAGTGAGTTAATTTTAAAGATCTAATTGGCTTTATTCACTGATTCATGAATCAGACAGCATCCCACATACCAGACAAAAAGAGCTCTGAGGAACTGTACAAAATGAGACTTTTATAGGCAGAAAGGATCAGGAGAAGTAAGTTATACTAACAAAAGCAGATTGGTTTTGATGACTTTCCTTTAGGGGACAGGGAGGGTCTATCACTTTCCTTTAGAGGACTGCAAGGGTCTCTCAGCCAAATTACCTCACTAGTGCTGACCTGGGAATTCTAAATTAACTGGTTTAAGATCCCTTTCCTGGGAGATGCTGAAACTGTAAGTAAGTTAGGTATTAAGTGTTGGTTTGGTGACATGGGACTTAGCACAAATATCTCCATTTTGGGTCTGTTGTCTCTTCTTTAACAGAACCAATATTAAAATTCAGTAAAGTTACAGTACATAAAATCAATACATAAAACTAATAACAAAGTACCAGAAAAATTAAGAAAATAATTCCATATACAATTACATCAAAAAGAATTTAAAAACCTAGGAATCAATTTAATGAAGAAGGTGAAAGTCATGTACATTGAAAACTATAAGACATTAATGAAAGAAATTAAAGACACAAATAAATAGAAAGATATTCTGTGCTCATGAATTGGAAGAATCACTATTGTTAAAATGTCAATACCAAAACAATCTATAGATTTATTATAAACCCTATAAAAACTCCAATGCCACATTTTACAAAATTAGAATGATCCTAAATTTGTATGAAAACAAAAGAGGTCCCAAAAGCCAAAGCAATTTTGAGAAAGAGGAACAAAGCTGGAGGTATCACACTTCCAGATTTCAAACTATATTACAAAGCTAAGGTAATTAAAGCAGTATAGTGTTGGCATAAAAACTGATGTATAGATCTATGGGAAAGAATAGAGAACACAGAAATAAACCCATGTATATGTGGTCAATTAATTTACAACAACAGAGACAAGAATATACAATGAGAGTGTACAGCAGAGTCTTTCATCTAAATGGTGTTAGAAAAACTGGACAGTCACATACAAAAGAATGAAATTGAACCACTATCTTAGGCCATACACAAAAATTAATTCAAAATGGATTAAAGACTTGAAACCATATAACCCCTAAAACAAACAAACAACAACAAAAACTCCATAAACAATAAGCTCCCTGGGAATGATTTTTTAAATCTGACACCAAAAGCAAAAGCAACAAAAGTAAAAATAAATAAATGGAACTACATTAAACTAAAAAAGCTTTGCACAGCAAAGAAAATCATCAACAAAATGAAAAGACACCTGCTGAATGGGAGAAAATATTTGCAAATCATATATCTAGTATGGGACTAATATCTAAAATATGTAAAGATCACACACAATTCATTAAAAAAAAAAACAAATAATCCAATTTAAAAATGGGTAGAAGATCTGAAAAGACATTTTTTCCAAGGTAGACTTACAGAGGGCCAATAGATACATGAAAAGATGTTCAACACCGTTAATCATCAGAGAAATGCAAATCAAAACCACGAGATACTTCTTCACACCTGTTAGAATGGCATTATCAAAAAGATAAAAAATAACAAGTGGTGGCAAGGAAGTGGTAAAAGGGAACCTTTGATGCACTGCTGGCAGGAATGTAAATTGATGCAGCCATTTTGGAAGTTCCTCAAAAAAATTAAAAATAGAACCACTGTATGATCCAGCAATTCCATTCTTGTATATTTATCCAAAGAAAACAAAGCAATAACTCAAAAAGGTATATGAACCCCATGTTCACTGCAGCATTATTTAAAATAGCCAAAATACAGAAACAACCTTAGTGTCCATCCATGGATGAATAAAGAAACTATGAAAACAAACAAACAAAAAAAAACTATGGTATGTATATAGATACACAGATGCAGACAGACACACAATGGAATTTTATTCATACATAAAACAAGCTTGCTATTTACAAAACTATGGATGGACCCAGAGGCATTATGCTAAGTGAAAAACCTCAGAGGAAAACAAGTATAGTCTCTTATATATGGAATCTGAAACAAAGTTTTTTTAAACCCAAGCTTATAGATACAGAGAATAGATTGGTGGTTGCCTGAGGCTGGGGTTGGGGGATAGGAAAAATGAGTGAAGGGGGTCATAAGGTAAAAATAAATTATAAATTAATTGCATAGTGTTGTGTAGTGTCTAATAATACTGTACTGTATATTTGAAAGTTGCTGTGAGTAGACCTTGAATGTTCACATCATGAAAATAATTGTAACTATGTGGTGATGTTAACTAGACTTAATGTGATTTCAAAATATATACATTTAATTATATCGTACACATGAAACTAATTACATGTTATATGTCAATTATATCTCAATAAAGTGATAAAAATTTTTAAATGGAAAAAAAAAACCCACATAGTGTAATAACTTGAAATCTAAAGCATGTAGCCTGTTAGAATTATGCCAATGTCATTTTCCTGGTTTTCATACTGTGCCATAATTATGTACAATGTTGCCATTTAAGGAATCTGGATGAAGTATACAAGGTCCTTTCTGTACTAACTTTGCCTGTGAATCTACAATTATTTGAAAATAAAGGCTTTAAGTTAAAAAAAAAAAAGCTAATGGGCCCTATTAATGGATTTCACAGTCAATTCAAAGAATTGCCCCAATAATCCATCAGTAAAAACTCTAAGGCTCTGCATGTGTATGTTTTTATTTGAAGAGGCATGAGGGGAGGGCGGAAATGTTGGAGAGGAATCAACCGGACAATTTTCTCACCGTTCCTCTCTTTAGTTTATATAACATATAGACACGTGTGGGTCAAAGTAACAAGATTTAGAATTTTTAGGTCAAGGAGCAGTATGAAATCTCCTACCTCTTTAGCTCATAAGTGAACTCATTTTAACGGATTATACATGCTCAGCCTCCCGGGGGCTTTCACAGACTCACAGCCCCTCCAGTTGGCACAGCCCTTAAGTCCGGCCTATCCTCGGGGGCCTTAGATTGAAATGCTCCTCGCGCTGTGCTCGCGGTTCGTGCTGACGAGTGTCACGCCCGCGGCCGTCCCCAACTCGCGCCAACCGCTGTGCTGGGACGGAGACCCGGAGGGCCAAACGAAGGCCAGGGCGCCGCTGGCCCACAGAGACGCCTCCTGGGCTCCTGGCCTGAGCGGGGCTGCGGAGCCTGGGAGGAAGCGGCGCTCCTTCACTCCATAAATCGTACCCCTAAGGAGAAAAAGGTCACATGTGGACAGTCGTGGCGCAGGGCCCGCCCCGGGGTATTCACCGGGCATAGTTCTCAGAGGCCGGGCCGTGCTGTCCCCTTGACACCTTGGCCGCTGCGCACCGCGTTCGTGTGGGAGGCGGGGCCCACAGCAAAGTCTCTCCCTAGTATCCCTGAGTTTCTGACTGCAACCCTTCTTCACGGGCTGGGCCCAGCGGACTTCCGGAGTTGGACGTCGAACGCCAGTACCCCTGGCGCAGAGAACCAGGGGGCGCGGCTTGTTTGCGGTCCGGCCTGGTCTGACCAGACCAGCAGGCGGCTCCACACGCACCCGGTTAAACGCAGGCCCGCGGCCACTGCGGCCGCGCTTACAAGAGCCCCCCCCGCACCCCGCAGCTCCTGCTGTCCGCGACCCCTACTTGATAAGCACCCCTACCCCACTCCCTCGGGCCTGAGCCCTTCGGTGGGGGTCATAGCCTGACCCAAAGGCAGAGAGAACTTGAGTCCCTCCTGTGCCAAGGCGCTCACTGCACACGAGCCAGTGTCCTTCAGGGCCACCTCCTTCCTGGGGTCTGTAGAGAGTAACAAGACCGTCCATTGAGGGTGTGCAAGGGAGGCCTGCCCACATCTCCCGACTTTGGGAGCCACGGAGGAGAGGACTAGTACCTGGAGTCCTTCCCTTCGTCTTCAAGAACCACAGTGGCTGCCATCCTGACTCCTACTTGGCAGAGCTCTGGGGGTGGAGGGGTGTATCTTGGGAAAAGAGAAATTTCTTGAGTGCAACTAATCTGAAAAATCCAACCACATTTTCTGAGCCAATGCCAAGATCCTGACTCCCTGTTTCCGATTCAGCTGGTGCCTAAACCTAAATCCCAAGAGCACTGTTTGCATTTCCTAGGATTATTCATTGCCCTTTTTTCCGTTTGAGCATTTAAAATTCCTGTAATTCATGGAGCACTTAAGACCTCATAGAAGTAACTGAATGTTTACTTAACACTGGGGTCTAAGCCCCTTATAATTTTGTGCAGCTTAACTCCTAGCAGGGGGCTGCCTGCACTATTTCAACATAAATCTAGAAGCAGGCAGTGGAAAGCTCCACGTTTTACCGTCATTGCATGTTCTGGGACAATTCCTCTAGACCAGCCCTGAACCCCGGAACTACCCCGGAACTACTGCTATATTGGTGTAGTGGCAGACTGTCCTGTGCAGTGTAAGAGGTTTAGAAGCACCCTAGGCCTTCCTACACTAGAGTCCAGGCACTTTGAGTTGTGACAACCAAACTCCTTACCACTGATCTTGGGAGGCAAATGGCTATTTCTAGAACAAGGTCTTCAAGTAGTGAACTCTCAACTTTCAGCCTCTTTTGAATTATATGGCATAGAATTTTGAATCGAGCCCCCATCACTTCAAAAGGTCATTTTATGTTCTGGCCTCCACCATTTCTGCTGTCTGTGGTCACTTATGTGGTTGTCCATACCTGTTTACTACCTTTTTTGGAATCTCTTATGATTTTATCTTTATCAGGGTACTGGTATAGTTTGCTTATTAGACTTATTTGGGTTTGCTGAAATTCTCTTTAATGTGTAAGGTATTTTTCACCAAATTTTGCACATATTCAACCACTATTTCTTCAAATAATTTGCCTGTCACATGAAATATTTTGTAACTCTCCTTTTCACTCAGTTACATGTTGGATCAGTTGATATTTTCCAAAGATAACTAAGGCCTTGTTTAAATGTTTTAAAACAATTTTCTTTCAAATTTTCAATTCATAACTGCTGATATACATCTATAATCTGCACTATATTATTAAACTCACCCCTGGCTTAACATTACACATACTTTTTCAGTTCTAGAATTTCTTTTTATTTTTATACTTGCCTTCTCTGATGAGGCGCCCACCTGCTCCCTCATTTTTCTCCTTTGAACCTTCAAACATATTAGACAAGCAGCTTCAAAATCCATGTCTTGTAATTACAACATCTGGGTCAATTCAGACCATTTTTAGTAGCACTTATTTCTCTTCTTTTTGGGTCACATCATGCATGTCAGGAAATTACTGACTTAGGCTAAACACTTTACATAAAATGTCATGGAGACTGTAGATGTGGTAACTTCCTAGGGCTACTTTAACAAATTACCACAAACTTTGTGGCCTAAAACAGAAATTTAAAAATCAAGGTGTCAGCATGGCCACACTCAAGATTATAGGATCCTTCCTTTCTTCTTCTAGCTTCTGGTGGATGCCAGTACTCCTCCACTTGCAGACACATCACTGCCTCTCTCTTCCTGTCTTCTGTGTCCTGGCATGTCCTGGTCTGTTTCTCATGAGGATTTAGGATTCAACCTAATCCAATATAATCTCATCTCAAACCTTACCTTAATTACACCCATAGACTCTATTTCCACTAAGGTTCTGAATGGACATCAAATTTGGGGAGACACTATTCAACTCACTCCACTGGATTATGCTGACTTCCAATATATAACATTTGAGTTTTGTTCAGGCCAGCAATTTGACTACCAGTGAACCCAACTGGATCTGTCAGACCTGTTACTTCTGTATCATTATGTCTAGTGTGGTCTAGAACACATTAATTATATTATGGTCTACAACACTTAATTCTGACTTCAGTTCCTTTCACTAGGGTAGTATCTGAGCATTTTTCTTTTCTGCAAGGAGTCAAATAATACATATTTTAGATGTTGTGAAGAGCCAAAGTGAAGGCTATTACACAGATCCTTAGTGAGAAAAAATTTAGCCAAAATTGATAGTCATGAAATTCTAAGTTTAAAAATAAGTACAACTTTATGCAACACAGGTCTAAGAATGAGAATTAAATTCTAAGATTAGAGTTCAAAGTTACTGTTCTATCAAAATTGCAAATGTTCACTTAATGCCGATCTGTAATGAGATTTTATATATTTCATCTTTAAAACAGTCTGTCCACACAGATACATACAAACAAATACTGAGTACTGCTTTTGACTGAGCATATTTATTACTAGGAAAAGTATTACAGAATTGTTTGAGATTTCTCTAGATATTTGCCTCTCAAGAGGTTATTATATTGCAGAATAATCACTTCCAGTATTAGATAGCAGTTCCTCAAATATACAGAACTGAATAAATTTTTTTAAATGTTTATTAATTTTTGAGAGAGAGAGACAGAGCATAAGCAGGAGAGGGGCAGAGAGAGAGGGAGACACAGAATCCAAAGCAGGCTCCAGGCTCTCAGCTGTCAGCACAGAGTCTGATGCAGGGCTTGAGCCCACGGACAGTGACACCATGACCAGAGCGAAAGTTGGACACTTAACCCACTGAGCCACCCAGGAGCCCCAAGAACTGAATACATTTTTAAGTAAGGAAATTTTCTTCATACTTGCATTAAAGTAAAAAAAAATGCTATTAGAATAGTTTGATTCTGGAAAATGTGGGAATGGAGATCTTATCTGTTGACTACACAGTATATAGTATTTGGATATTATTTATGACTCGTTGAAATGACTACCACAGTACTTCACACAGAAGTATTGTTTTACCTTCTAACTTAAATCCAGAGAAATCAAGTCTGTGGCAAAAGCTAATTTGCAAAAATATGCACAGTCTATTAACAGTGCTAAGGGCCATTTTTCTTGTTCAGAAAAATTTTAATCATGGATATGAGCTCAAAAAAAATTCACAGTATTTACTGCTACTAAATCATTGGCAATCTGTGGTGGTAGTTCAAGTCAAAATATTCAGCTTCTAGTTCTGAAAAAAATTCATGGATCTCATTAAGTGCATGAGATTAAGTGAAGTTTTACTGTTCACACAATTCATTAACTTGACATATTAAAATACTTTTGGCAATGTACCTTTTGATGAATAGAAATGAATAAGGTTTCTGGGGCACCCGGGTGACTCAGTTAAGCATCTGACTGGATTTCAGCTCAGGTCATGATCTCATGGTACATGGGATAGAGCACCACATCAGGCTCTGCACTGGTAATACAGAACCTGCTTGGGATTCTCTCTCCCTCTGCCCTTCCCCCTCTCTCTCAAAAATAAATAAACTTAAAAAAAAAAAAAAAAGAGGTGAGGCACCTGAGTGGCTCAGTCTGACTTCAGTTCAGGTTATGATCTCATGGTTTGTTGAATTCAAGCCCCATGACGGGCTCTGTGCTGACAGCTCGGAGACTGGAGCCTGCTTCAGATACTGTCTCCCTCTCTGTCTGCCTCCCGGGCTTGCACTCTGTCTCTCAAAACCAAATAAACATAATTTTTTTTAAAGGAAACTTCCCCAACTACACCTTTTCCTGCTCTTCACATATTTTTACCACCATCAGTTGTTACTCATCCTGGCAGATTCCAGTTCAGGTTGAGTGTTTTCACAACTTGTTTTAAAATATTTTCAACTGTTTTTGTTCTATACAGACTGTTCATAGAGGTTAATTCTTCAGAGTTAAAGCGATACCTTGAATAAACAGCAACAGAGCAGTACTGGTAATCAACTGTTGGTTCACCAACAGCCAAGGAAAGGCACCTAAAATATCTGATGTTTCTTTACTGTTAATGTTGCTCCCACTGTCCTCAACTCTTAAGGCATGTATCATCACCAAAAGAGAATCTTAAGAATCTTAAGTTTTTCTCTGGATTTGCAAATTCAACTGCTGCAATCACATACAATCTAATTAATTCATCATTACTGAAGTTTCCCTTTCCTGGCTAATAACCAAGCTATTAAAAACTTGGTTTAACAGCAACCACTTTTTCTTCTTTACCATGAGAATTAGGCAATGAAATGCTCTGTTTAAAATCTTCTAACTTTCATGACAATTGCTTACCTGTGAGATGGGATTATTCTGATGAGGGCTTTGTATAATGCCTATGCCTATGTACTACGTATGCACATAGTACACTTTGAACACATCTAGAATGTCACCACTTTCATTTCTAAAAGCACTGACAACCAGTTCAACAAAACCTACATCCCACTGTACTTTAAAAGTCAATTTTTCATCTTTTATTTTGACATATTCACCAGTAACTTTTTAAAATTTTGCAATATGTCACTTAAAGTGAAACACAAAATGCTGCCAGGTTATAACCGCAATGCTGGGATTTCTAATACTTTGAGCAGCAATGTGAAGCAACCCAAGTGCCACAATGAAAGTCTCTATGCTGCAACTATTAAACTGCTGTTGTAGTGTGAAAGAAAGTAGCCAGACAAGCAAATTAAGATGTTTTTCAATAAAACTTTAAAATAAAAAAACAATTTTTAACATCATTTCACCTGTAAAAAAATCCATTTAATTTTTTTTGCATTATGTAATAATATAAAACCATTCTTAGCCTGTAAGTTGTACAAAACAGGCAATCGAACCAGATTTGACCCATAGACCTGTTTGTTGAGGCTGTTCTAGGATATAGTCCAACTCCTCAGACATGATTTTCACTGAATGCTCAAGGTGATCCTCAACAATGTATGGCCCCAAATGCCTACATCTCTCAGTACTACACATCTGATACCATTGTTTAGCTCTCAACCAAAAGATAGTATCTGCTAAACCTCATGGAACTTTAGCCTGCATATATTCACATCAACCCTAGGCCAAGGATCCACGTTTATTTGCAAACAGATCCTTGGCATCATTGCCTGCATCCTTAACACACACTGACACACAGAGAACAGGTCTTCAATGCTTGTTTTGAGCTTTCTAAAGCATGTTGGTGCTAACCACATATAAGTAGTTTCACATATATATTTGCAATTCACCTACTTACCTTATACTGAAGATGTACTCA